GCAACAACCTTATTCTGAACAAATAGTGTTTTCCTCAAAATTGTTTCGGAAATGACCCATTCCAAATATTGCAAAGCCATAATATCCACTCGATTCAGAAGAATACGACACCCGGCTATAGATTTATCTTCTATGATTAGGACACTCTCACCTCGATATAACATACTAGTGAGTAGCATAGAGTCTGTCTCCAAAAATGTTTGTTGTTTGTTATTCGTTGATGATGATGATGATAATACGAATGATAAAATGTGTCCCATCAAGGAATAAATCCGTTTTAAAAAATCTGGAGAAATACTAACGTAGCGTGATGGCGTTATAATATGAATATAAACGTTGAAATCGTTTGCCGGGTCCAAGCCAATGTTGATAAATTTACGATTCTGAAAGTCAATGTTGAATTCAGTTTAATCGATGAGATTGCTCGGAGATTCGGGTGCGACGTATCGAAACCTTTTGTATACTGCAGCGTAGTTGTCGGCGATTGAACCAACCATGGTTAATTTACTTGGTAAATTTTGAAGAGTAGAACACGGGCAGACAGACAAGTATTACTTGTAGCGATTCAAGTACGACTGATTCAGTCGATTCATTTGTAGTAACTTATCGGTGTAATTTTTCTTTATTATAAGAGAGGGATGTTCAATTATATTTTTCGAATTAATTAATTATTTATCCAGTGATTTGTATTTTCCTAATTATACCCGTACTCAAGCTGGTATGCTAATTTTTAATTGATTTTCTTTAATTATACATGAATATAATCACTGTCTAAGTATTGGTCAGCTAATATTCCTGGGAACGCTGCGTTGGGGTGGGCAGCGGTGTCTGTAGTAGTGGGGTGGGAAGTTTGAGGTATTAAGGGTTGCTTGAGAGGATAATATTATGAGGGGGTATGCCTATTTACTTTGACACTAGTCAACTCATTTAGATTGGGTAGGGAGAGGCAGTTAAGGTAGCGGTAGTGGGGGAGGGGGCATTGATGTTCGGTGGTAACGGCGGCGGTGGTAGCGGCGGTGGCGGTGGCGCCAGAAACCCCCAATTTATACTACTATCGGAATGAGTTTTGTAGCAGTGATATGAACACCAACCAGTAGATTCAGTTATTTGATCATCTTGTATTGTTAGTCTCACACAAAATAAATTTCCACATACGTCTTTCATTGTATTTAGTTCTAAATTAAGTACTATATGAGGATAAAACTCTACAACTCAACTAACATTCATTTCAATTCCTCGAAATGGTGATAAAGATTTTAATAAATTACTAATAGCCACTTGTATATCAACAGGTCGATGGTTTGTAAAATTATTATCATCTAAAATAGTGGGTATGTAATAATGTCGTTACTTGAAGACATAATGAACTAAAAAAAAAAAATCAAAAAAATAATAATTCACATAAATAAATACACAGTAAAAATTGTATATTATCAATAAAAAAAAAATATTTAAAAATATAAATATAAACATTATTATTATGAATTAATAAAAATTGAACAAAAACAATTTAATGATAAATTATAAATCTAAGTTAAAAATAATAATTTGTTATTATTTAAAGTTCTAAAACTATACATATAAATTATATTAGGTACTTATCTAATAAAAAATGATTTAAATAACATAGTTAAAGAATTACATTTTTTTATAATTATATTGATTAAAGCAATTTATTATTATTATTATTATTTTTTTTTTTTTAATTAAGAGAAAAGCCTCGATAACGTGACCATTGGCTTATTTTTACATCAATGAAGACTTAAATTAAATTGTACAGATCAGTATCTTTTAAAAATAAAATTATGTTTTGAATGGATTTTTCGTCAAGGCCCAGTGCGTCGTGAAGGTGTTCGGGTATGTTGAATTTTTGTCGTGCCTCTTTTGTGTTACTGCATTCGGTGATGATATGTTTTATTGTAGTTGTAATTCCGCATGTAAGGCATATTTTTGGTGGCTCCTTTTTCATGAGGTGGCCATGTGTGTGATGCGTATGGCCTATTCTGAAGCGATTAACCTTCCTCTCTTCTTTTGAGTGACATAGGGTTATTCCATTTTTCGATGGTTCTTTTTATCTCATTTAATTTACTATTCATTAAATTGATCATATAATTTTTTTAAATTTTTTTTAACTTATTAATAACTAGTTTCTTACAATATTTAAAAAAAATAAATTAAAATCAAAAAATTCTTCGTTTTTTTATGAAAAAAGTCTTTAGTTTTTTTAAATCTTTGAATTTCAATTAAGCCACTGCCAACTGATTTTAAACGACTAATCTTCGATTTATTTTTGATATTTAACATATTTTGATCCATTATAAATCCGAAAAAATAAAAAAAGATCTACTATTTGATTAACATATAATACATTTTATTTGATTTTAAAAATATTTTTGTCAATTGATAAAATAAAATTAATAATACATTTTGTTATTTTCACATCGTTAACAGGTTCATGCATACATTCTATATTATGATTATTATTACAAATTAAATTATGAGTTTCAATCAGTGTTAATAACCTACCATTTTTCAACTGTTACATTAAACAATTCCCATATCTGACACAATAAAATACCTGGGACTCAATCTTGATAAACGACTAACATGGAAAAATCATATTCGAACCAAAAGACTGACTCTCAACGCCCGTATGCGCATCCTCAATCCTCTAATATCGAGAAATAATAAAACAAGTCTGAAAGTCAAACTTCTAATTTACAAAACCCTCTTAAAACCTATTTGGACTTATGGCATACAGCTCTGGGGCTCAGCAAAAAAATCCAATACCAATAAAATCCAAGTATTCCAAAACCTAGCTCTCCGTCGTCTGTCCAATGCACCACCATACGTCTCTAACCTAACATTACATAATGACTTTCACATAAAAACCATCAATGAAGAAACTCAATCATTTTACTTGCGGTACCGCACACGACTTCTATCCCACCAAAATCCTCTTATTAAAACCCTCTCCTCTCAAACTTTCCCGGGGAATCCAAGGCGCAGGCTAAAAAGGAAATGGTGTCGTGACCTACTACAATTATAAATTTAAAATATACTATGTTCGTTACATGTATATATTCATTTAATCTCAACATATGGGGGAAAAAAAAAAAAAAAAAAACATATATAAATAATTCATGCTAAGTGTTGCCAGTGGGTGGCTTCTTACTCAATTTTTCATGTCATGTCTTCTCTTAGCACATAAGCTTATTATGCATTACTTGTATAGATTGTTTATTTCTAATAAAAATTAAAAAAAAAAAATTTTTTTCAATTGATAAAATAAAATTAATAATACATTTTGTTATTTTCACATCGTTAACAGGTTCATGCTTACATTCTATATTATGATTATTATTACAAATTAAATTATGAGTTTCAATCAGTGTTAATAACCTACCATTTTTCTTAACATACCCTAATTTATGTACAAATATTAAATTATTGTTATTAGAATCTATTAATTTTAAATAAAATATTTTATTATTATATTCATTATAAGCAGTTAAATTTAACATAATACAATTAATACCTAGTCTTAATAATATACGTTTATCTGAACTACCATTCCATAGAATTAGTGTATTATAATTACAACTTTTTTTTTAAATATCAATGGTTAAGTTAGATACTAAATCATTTCTCATAGAATTTTCAAGTTCTTTTAAAATTATATCAAGCCGTTCAGGTTGATTTTTAAATACATGATATAATGAATTTTTTGTTTTTTCTTTAATGTAGACGTTCATTATTGTTATTTCACCTTCTGGTGTAATTATAAGTGGTTTTCCTTGTAGTTTATAGATTTTTGTTTTTTGTTTTATATCATTTATTTCATTGTAATTTGTAAAAGCGCCCGATATTAATATAATATCTTTCCTCTGATAGTTAAAAAATTCAAAGTCTGTTAATTTTAGGTGATCTATTTTCCCTAAAAAAAAAAAAAAATGTATCGTTTATAAAATAATTAAAATTTATTTATATTTATATTTAAAAAAAAAAATAAATAAAAAAATAAAATAAAAATAAATAAATATTTTAACCCCAATAATGAAGCAATAAAAATAAGTTACGAACTGAACCAATGCTAAATATGCTACTGGAACTGTTTACTACATTTTTTCAGAGCCAATACAAAAATTAACACATATATAAATATTTTATAGTAATTTAAATTACTTTTTTCGTCAATATGTAATACGATTTTAATATAGATGGTGACATAACAACCATTTTATGTCTAAGAAATGAAAAGCAGGTGGATTCAACATATGTATGTTTGTAACTACACTTTGAAAACGATGCCCTGAGTTAGGAGGAATTGCGTACAGGCAGAGGCGGATTTCCCATTAGGCATTGTAGGCAGCTGCCTAGGGCAGCATAATTTTATTATAATAAGTTATAAACACAAATCTGGTGCACAAAAAAGAAAAGAAAAGGATGAGAGAGACAACGAAGCAATAAAAGGACAGCTATCACTCGGTCAATATTTTAAACTTTCCACAGCTTCGACTGAGTTACCTAAACGGTCTATTGTGAAATCAAGTCCAGTATCAAATGAATTGGAAGGTAAGGGCAACAATGTAATTATTATTGATAGTAATAGCACTAATTTAAGTATGGTTATTCATACAAATGAGGATAATATAATAACTGAAACCGATAATGTTACTATTGTTACTGAAAAATCGCTTTCTTCGCCACGGCTACAGCCATTATATAAATATTTTGATATTGGTGATCCCAATTTTGACATAGATCGTGACTTGAAGTATCCCCATATTCCAAATCCGGAAAGCTTTCTTGTGGATTCTGAAGGTTTTAGTGTGCCAATATCGATATTTAAAAAGAAACTAACTAATAATGAAATGATTACGAGAGATTGGCTAGTTTGGAGTAAAGTAAAGCAAGCATTGTAAACTATTTAGCACGTTGCCTGAGTCACAGCGTTCCGCGTTGGCACTTCCTGAAGGGTTTTCTACAGCGAAACGTTGGAAAAAGCTGTATGATAAGGTCCCTGAACACGAAAATAGTTCAGTACATAAAAAAAGCTACGTTCAATGGAAATCAGAGATCTTTAAAATAAAAAAAGACAAATCCTTGTCAGGTATTTTATTAAAATCGATCAACAGTGATAAAGAAAAGTGGCGTGAACTCTTAAAGCGTTTAATTAAGGTCACTTTGTTTCTGGCCAAAAGAGGGCTGGCTTTTCGAGGGGATTCTGAAAAAATCGGTGAATCATCTAATGGGAATTTCTTGGGCATCTTAGAACTACTCGCTAACTATGATCCAGTTTTGAATGAACATTTAAATAAAATTCACCACTTTCAAGAAAAGGGAGATAGAATGCAAGTGCATTACCTGTCCCATGACATTCAAAATGAATTCATAAGCTTATGTGCTGCTGAAGTAACTAAAAAAATTCTTGAAGAGAGAGAAAAAGCAAGGTACTATTCTGTAATTGTTGACGCAACACCTGATTCTGTTCATGTAGAACAGACTGTTATATTAATAAGATATGTTAATTTAACTGAACAGGTAGAAAATCAACAATACCAAGTGGAAGAACGTCTACTATGCTTTGTAGATTGTGCCAATAAAAGTGGAAAAGCATACCTTATTATGAGTAAATTAAAAATATTTAAAATTCCATTAGAAGATTGTAAGGGCCAAGGGTATGATAATGGTAGTAATATGAAAGGTATATATAAAGGAGCTCAAGCTATTATACTCAGAGCTAATAACGAGGCTAATATACTCAGCTTGTACTTTTCACTCTTTAAATCTATAAGGGGAACAAGCAGCAGAGAGCTGTACAGCAGCTATTACTTTTTTTGGAGCCATCCAAAAATTATATAATATCTTTAGTTCAAGCCCCCAAAGATGGGAAATCTTAAAAAAAAAAATGCCGTCCTCTCTTCATTCAATGTCAAGAACACGATGGTCAGCAAGAGTTGATAGTGTAAAACCAGTCGCTGCAATCTTCCAGCTATATTAGAAGCCCTTGAAGATTTGAAGCTACTAAACTTGACATCAGAATGTCGTCGAGACATACAGAGATTAGAAAAGTACTTCAAAACTTTTAACCCTTTCGGTCCTGACCTACTCGTATAGGTAGGCAACTTTCGATAAATTGTTTTAAATAAAGTTTTCATCGCAGCAAACCAAATGTTATAAAATAATAATTCTTAATATATGGACATTCATAAAAAATAATAATATTCATCGATATTTCAGTATAATTGTAATATTTTAACTATTTTCTTGAAAAAATAAAAAATAAATATAGTGATGATAAGGTCATTATCATCATAATTGCATTTCCCGCCAAAACTATCTAACATATGATTTTAAAAATCTGGGAGTTTTTAAATCAATAGTTAACATGTTTACATATAAGTAACAACCATAACCAATATGTTATAATCAATAACTCAACAATTTTACCGCCAAATTCTATCAGTCTTATCACCTACTGCTACGAGTATGTCGGGCAACAACGGAGTACAATATATCAGCATTAGATAAAATCGTATCGATGCAAATAATTTAGGTGTTGAAAAAAAAAATCAACTGGATTTACTTCAATTTAAGGAAAGGTTAGGTGAAGAATTAATAACAGTTAGAAAAGTTAGCCAAATCAGTCCATCGACATTGGGCATAAAACGAGGACGTCCACGAAATAATTCAACATTGGGGTCTCCAGCACCACCCGCAAAAAAATGCTTGAGGCTAGATAATTTACCAAATGAAACTATGAAACTGGATCATGTTGGACACTACCCTAAACACGATAACAAAAAGCATCCACTTTTCTGCAAACGACAAGGTTGCAAGCTAAAAAGTCATTGGGTTTGCACAAAATGCAATGTACATTTGTGTATGACATCATCTAACAACTGTTTTTTAAAATTTCACCATGAATAATGTTGTAGGTACTATACATATATTTCTATCAACATTATATTATATTTTAATAAAAAAGTGAAAAGTCATCAAGGAATATTGTGATTATTTATTTTGATATATTTATAGTTTGTTAAAAAAAATTATTATTTGATTAAAAAAAAGTTAATGTTGTTTATTTTGTTTTTTATATACTCGTATTAAAAGGTTTTGTTATTATTTTGTTTTGTTTTTTTACCCAACCTACTTGTAGAAGTAGGTAATTTTTTTTTTTTTGACTCCTATACAACCCGACCTACTTGTAGAAGTATGTGATGAAAATTTGCATATCATTTGGTAAAAAATAATTTTTTTTTTCTGAAATTGCGTGAGTAAGTTATTTATGGCTATTTAACCAAGGAAAAAAATTATGGATTTTTTTCCTAAAAAAAAAAAAATCAGGACCGAAAGGGTTAACTGTCTTCTCCTAGCTTCTATTTGGTTCAAGATCCTAAAGTCAATAGACATTGTAAACCGTGTATTACAATGTAAAAGTGGTACTTTGGATGTTGCCTCGAAAAATTTGAGTTCATTGATCGAAGACTTGCATAAAATACGAAATGAAGGTTATGATAATATACTTAATGAAACTCTAATAGTGGCTAAAAATATAGGTTGGCCTCAATATTTCGAAGAAGAATTAAAAAGAACTCGAAAACGAAAAAGACATATAGATGAAGATGACGAAAACGAAAATGCAGATGATCATCAAAGAACTAAATTCAAGAATGACGTTTTCAATATTATCCTAGATAGTGTTATTGGAGATATGACAGTTAGGTTCGAATCAGTGCATTCTCTTTGTGAAAGATTTTCTGTGCTATGGTTGAATAAAGAAATGACCATAGACCAGATTCAAGAAAAAACTACTAGGCTGGTAAAACAGTATCCAAAGGATTTAGGAGATGAGCTTACAGATGAACTTCAAAGTTTAAAACTTATATATTCAGCCAACTTTGGTGAAAAGACACTCTCACCTTGGGATCTTCTCAATGCTATAAAAACTTCAAATCTGGAAAATTTATTTCCTAACCTTACTGTGGCTCTCAGGATATTTATCACAATTCCTGCTACAGTAGCAAGTGCAGAACGCTCTTTTTCTGTATTAAAAAGAGTAAAAAATGTTTTACGTTCGACCATGTGTCAAAACAGGCTATCAAGCTTAGAAGTCTTGGCAGTGGAAAAAGAACTAGCTAAAAACACCAACTTGGATGCTGCTATCGATGGTTTTGCTATGAAAAAGGCCAGAAAAGGAACACTTTAATTAAACCTAATAATTATTCATTATAACTACTGTTAAATAGTTGTTTAATTTTTTACATTATTTTCTTCAATTTTAATACAAGATTTTGTATACCATATATTATGTTTGTTTTATTTACAATTCATCCAACTTAAATATTAAGTATCGCTACTGCATAAAAATGCCATACAGCTTTATAAATCTCAGTAAAATAAGTATATATAAGTGAAGGGGCCCGGAAATAATCAGCCCTGGGGCCCACAAAAGCTCTCGTCGGCCCTGATAGTATTACATAGTGTCATAGTACATATTATTAATTACGCTACACATAAATATGGATACTTGGTTTCAAACTGGGTCTTGTCGTAAGATAAAGCTGTCAAATGATGAAGGAACTAGTAGTTGTGGAACTAGTAGTGAGATTGTTGATGTGTCAAGTTTGAATATAAGAAAGAAAACTAAAATATATTTTCGTAAGTATAACCCTGACTTTTTAAAAATCGGGTTTGTATTTTTGGTACTGAGGAGGAGCCTATGCCACAGTGTGTGATTTGTTTTGAAACGCTATTCAACGAATGTATGAAATTATCAAAACTTGAAAGACATCTATCAACTAAACATCCTGAATGTGTAGGAAAATCTCTCGATTCGTTCGGGCGGTGTTGCTATATGTGAAAATAAGAATATGAGTTCTTCCGATGGAGTACAATCGATCGAGTACAATTTGTTCAAATTTAATCGAGAAAATAAGAACGTAAAGCGAATTGCGAATTTTTTTCAATCGTGAAAAAAACCAATCAATATTTACTCCTTTATACCTACTTATAAATATAGTTAAAATATTATGAGTTTAGTTACTAAGAAAATAATATTATGCAATTAAATAATCGTAATATGTCATATTTTATATATAGTAGTAACGTGTGTAGCGAGCGTTGTGCAGGACACTACGATCGCTAACACTTTAATTATTTAACGACGTAGCACGTTGTATGAAATCTTGAGACGTGGGTTGAGAGAGATAGGTTAGGTGAATAAATTTAACACTGGTATATTAAACTTATAAACTTACTGTTTTTATTAATTTATCACAACAAATTAACAAACAGTTAAAAACACAAAAAATTAAAATAACAAGTTATTCTGGGCTAAGAATTATTTACTCGCGGCGATGTGGCTGTAACAAAGTCCACGACGAGCAATAATTTATTTAACAGGGGAAATGATCAGTCCAACTACCTATCTACATCTGAATAATACTAAATGCTCAACCCGTATTTATACAGGTTCCAATGACGTAAAAGTGGTCTAATTCTAATATTACTTTATTTTGCCCTCTATTTAGCATTATTATGTAAAAACGTGAAACTA